AAGAGAATCACCTAAGAGTGAAACAAGTACCTGTCCCAAACGGCCCAATATGGAGAAAGCTGACCAAGTTGTGCCCAGCTGCCAGCATCCTATCAGGAGACTCCACATATTCCCATGTGCTCCAACAACAGGACAACAGCTGCTGCTGACTTACCCCAATGAGCCATGACAGTGAAGTTACGGGTCCAACAGTAAAATGAAATGACATCATGGACTATGTGAGGTGCACTTCCTCCGTCACTTCAATGGCTTTATTGAGTATGTCCCCTAGTACTGACACCACAGTAGTTTGTTATCTTCGTTTTAAATTTATTTGTATTTTATGCATATGAGTGTTTTGCCTGCAATGTAAGTAAGTGTATCCACGTGTGCGTTGTGCCCATGGAGGCTGGAAGAGGGCATTGGATCCCCTGGAACTGGAGTTAAGGACAGCTGTAAACCACCATGTGGGTGCTGGGAACTGAACCCAGGTCCTGTGTAAGAGCACCCAGTGCTCTCAACTGCAGAGCCATCTCTTTAGTCACACTGTTACAGTATTTCCACCAAGACAGAATTAACACCGCCATATGCAAAATGCCCAACTATATCAGTCACTCAGGAAAACTGAACCACTATCCACAAAGCACAGTATGCTTCTCTATAATAAAAATACAAGTTATTACAGTCATTATGAACTTAAAGTAACCTTTACAACTATCGCTTTCCATTCCCTTGTATCCACTGACTTACACAGGAAGTTCCCAATACTACCTCATAATCATAAAATTTATTATATTTCTTAGGATTAGTTTTTTTTTGTTTGTTTGTTTGGTTTTTTTGGTCTTTTTAAGACAGGGTCTCCCTGTAGCCCCAGCTGGCCTGGATTCACTATGGAGACCAGGCTGGCCTCAAACTCACAGAGATCCACCTGCCTCTGCCTCCGAGTGCTGTGATTAAAGGTGTGCACCACCACACCCGGCTAGGATTTAGTTTTAATATCAGGGATGTTTCCTTCCTTTTTTTTTTTTTTGTTCTTTTTGAGACAGGGTTTCCCTGTAGCCCCAGCTGGCCTGGGACTCAGTATGTAGACTAGGCTGGCCTTGATCTTAGAGATCTGCCTGCTTCTGCCTCTGCCTCTGCCTCTGCCTCCCAAGTGTTGGGATTAAAGGCATGCACCACCACACCTGGCTTCCTTCTTCTTGTAAAGAAAATTCTAAATCAGAGACAGCAGTGGTTTGATAAGACAGCACTTATTAAAACTTCTGAATTGCCAATCATGGTGGTGCATGTCTTTAATCTCAGCACTCAGGAGGCAGAGGCAAGTGGATCTCAGAGATTAAGGCCAGCCTGGTCTACATAGCGAGTTCCAGGCCAGCTGAGGCTACAAGGAGACCCTGTCTCAACAAAACAAAACGCTGAACATAAACAAAAAATCTTCTGAATTACTAACTTTAACCTGACCTTTCTCCAGTGGAATACAGGAAGTTTCCACAGTAAAGACTTCCTTTTGAGTTTTAATTGTGTTATTAGTGAGCTTTCCATTGCTGTGACAAAAGTCCTGAGCAAACACCCAAAGGAGAGAAGCTTTCTTTTGGGCTCAGAATTTTAGAGGTTTCAGTGCGTCCTTGTGGGGATAGTGTAGAGGAGCAGAGCAGCTCACCTCACAGCAGCCAGGAAACAGAATGCCTGTGTTTCTGGCTATCTTTTTGTTTCTTGTTTTGGCTGTGGTAGTGGTGTTTGGTTTTGTGAGAGTCCCATATGGCCCAGGCTGACCTCAAATTTACTATGTAGCTAAGGATAATCTTGAATTCTTGATCCTCCTAACTCTACCATACAAGTGTTTCAAGCCAGTCAAATTGACAATCAAGACTATCATACCAATATAACAGAAATCAAAATTTCCACATGGAACTAAATTGAGGCAGCATAGATGTATCAATCATTATATAAATTATGTTTTCTATGAGGTAGAATAAAGAGAGATTTTCCAGATCTATAGTTTTGCCTCATATGAAATATGCTCATGTAAGCCCCATGTAGTGATATAGGCAATCTCAATGGCTTATCTAATATATGGCAGACAATGGCCATGGTGATGAAGTTATTGATTCAAAAGTAAAATGAAAAAATACAAACAGTATGAAAAGCTAGCTTTGTTTCACTTAAAAGTCTGTGGTGGGGGCTAGAGAGATGGCTCAGTGGTTAAGAACACTGGTTGTTCTTGCAGAAGACCCAGGTTCGTATCCCAGAACCCACATGGCAGCTAACAACTGTCTGTAACTCCAGTTCCAGGGGATCCAATGGCCTCTTCTGTCCTCTGCAGGCAGTGCATGACACAGGTGCACTTACTTACATGCAGGTATAACACACATACTCATAAATAAAAATAATAAATAAAGTATTTTTCAAAAAGTCTGTCCTGGTAAGACCTGATTACTAAAGACACTCAATACTTGAGTCATAGAACATGGAGGAATCAAGCTGGTACTAACTTCAAACCCTCATCCCTACTGGCTAGCTTTCATAGTGCTAGAAGGTGCTATGCACACTACTGAAAGAGAAAAGTAATCATCAATCTTACCCAGCTGTGACCCCTGCAAGCTGTAATAATGACTGGTCCAGAAAGATATGACTACTGGTGCAACTGTGGCATGCATGTTATAGGAATAACCAAACCGTAATTGGATTTAAGGCCTGCTCACCAGATGGAATGCATATCTGACACCGTGATCAGGGTTAAGACCCTGTAGTTAGAGAGGTTACAGGCTGTAAGGAGAACCTACTACTGCTACTTTGCCAAACGGACATACAGACATAGTGTTAAACTGACTCCAAAGGACTGGTCATTATACCCATAGCCTAGAGCATCTCTCAACTCCCTCAGAGAAGCGTCTTTTAACAACAGATGGTAATTAACACAGAGACCCACAACTGTGCACAGAATGAGAGACTGTGGAGTGTTCAACACTAATTGGGACAACTATATTACACCTCTTCCCCCCAAGGCTTAGAGAACTTAGAAGAAGAGGGGGGAAAATATAAGAGCCAGAAGTGGTGGGTGACTAAATGAAACTGTGTTTTCCAGATATAATAGGGCAACTGCACATATGAGCCCCCAGCAATTGTGACAGCATGCACAAGACCTA